ACAGCAAAATGTCGGATAAAGCAATTTCACAAATCCGTCTGTTTTTAAACTTTGCTATGCTGTATTAAAGGCTTTACAAAAAAAATGAATTTGAACAGTCAGGCGGCATTGGCGGGGGCGAGGAACGAGATGGAGTCCCAATCCATGCCAGGCACACCTGCGAGCTCTGGAACTCCACCTCCGACAGGAAGAGGCAACAATCGTGGCGGGTTCATCAGGTCCTCGGTTCACCCTGACATTTCCATTCCTCTTCTGACACCAGAGCTTGACGAACTGCTCACCAGGCACAGCAAGGGCCGTCCGGACCGTTATGCTGTTCTGCTGTTCCAAGGATGTGTAACCGAAGAGAGATACCCTTAGTGGACACAGAATACCAACTGGGATGGATCCCGAGGCAATTGTGGCTTACCAGTGAACCTCCGAGTGTTCATCATAAATACTGTGTCTCAGAAGTTTCTGTCCATGAGTGATGCAACCCGAAAAAGTATTAAAGACAGATTTAATGAGTACTTGAGGTCTCGAGAAAGTCTGGACATGGCCTGCTCTCCCTTATCTAAGGAATTAGGCACTTTACTATGTTTATTATGTAAGCTACACTAAACATCTCATTGTCTTTTTGGTTTTTGTCACACTGCACAGTAGCCTAATAAACATATGCATTTTGAAACCGTAAATTGTTTTAAATAATAATTCTACAATATATTTCTACCACTGTAGATGCTGTGTTTTTGTTTTTAGAATACAGTTCTCGGTTTACAGTAGTGATGGACAGCTGTTTTCAAACACGTATAATCAATCCCATATAGTTTGTTCTAACAAAAAAGGTTTTATAGTCTTCAGTACAGCCAAGATTAAAAACAGTTGAATTAATTCCTGAATTCAATTGCTTTAGCCGACATGTTGTGGTTTATTTATTGTTTAATTATTCAAGGCTCCCTTTGTTATTTCTGTCACACCCTGATCTGTTTCACCTGTCTTGTGCTTGTCTCCACTCCCCTCCAAGTGTTGCCCATTTTCCCCATTACCCCCGTGCATATATACCTGTGTTTTCTGTTTGTCTGTTGCCAGTTCGTCTTGTCTCGTCCAGCCTACCAGCGGTTTTCCCGTACTCCTGTTTTCTCTGTAGTCCCTGTTTTCTAGTTTTCCCGGTTTTGACCATTCTGCCTGCCTTGAGCCTGCCTGTCGTTCTGTACCTTGTGACACTGCCCTGGATTACTGACCTCTGCCTGACCCTGACCCTGAGCCTGCCTGCCGTTCAGTACCTTTCGGACTCTGCTCTGGATTACTGACCTCTGCCTGCTCTTGACCTGTTGCTTGCCTGCCCCTGTTGTTGTAATAAACTTTTGTTACTTCGAGCTGTCTGCATCTGGATCTTATCCTGAGGTCTGATAATTTCGTTTTATAACTGAAACGCTTGATTGTATTTAAAGACACTGCCCAGTAGCCTAATAAACATATGCATTATGAAATAGTAAAAAAAAAAAGAATCTAATTCAATAATATATTTCTACCACTGTAGATGCTATGTTTATATTTTTAGAATACAGTTCTCGGCTTACAGTAGTGATGGACACTGGTCACAGTTCACGCATTGATGAGCCATTAAATTGGCCCAGGCAGACGTTGGTGAGATGTACGTGTGCTGTCTGGGGTGATGACATGCACAAATGCATGAATGTAAGTTATGTTAAGACAGCTACAGTAAACAGGACACTTAGTCCTACAGCTCCATGTCATTTCAATAAAAACCTTGAACCCACCTGTCCCTGAATTTACCAAAATATGTGTATTTTACACTCTAGCAGTAGGCCTACATTAAGATAAATATCATAAAAGACAAAAACTTACTGAGCATTTCATCCTCAAAGCGCATGAAGGTCTGCTGCGCGGTATGCATATTAACAGTAGAATAGCTAGGACTTAACGAGTAGCCTATCAATAGCCACCAGTCTAATAAATCAATTTAATATACACAATCACAAAGAAATCCATTCATATCTTGTTTAGGAAGGTCATAAAAAAACATGATACTAAGACAATTTATTTCAAAAGAACAGAATAGCATGTTTTCAGATTTATTTCTCTGCTATACCCTATCTGAAAGCTACTATACCACAATCAAAACGTCTGGCCTGCATGGACCTCTGTAGGATTATTTGGGAAAGTAAGCAAGCTTCATAAAGTAATCAAGCTTCATAAAGACACCCTCAAAGATGCCCTCTGGTGGTTTCAACAAGCATTAACGGCCACAATGGCTGACAGTAAAATACCATGACTTCATGCACTGTAACCTGCTGTACAATCCTGCAGCATCCTGCAAGCTGTGCTACATTATGACACAACTTTTAAAGGAAGAACCACTGTATAAAATAATCTAATTTCCCAATTTTTCTTGAGTAAACAGTATTTCAATTATTTATTTTATACAGTCATTATTGCACATCTTTATCAAGCGTGTCAATTTCGGACCCCACTGTCCACACCTGCTGACACTGGTTTGCACAGAAATGACTTACAGGTTGTGTTAGCTTAATTGTAGTTTTAGCCTAATATATCACAATTCGATGGACAAAAACATGGTTTGTTGTGGATTATTGTAAATGGGTGCTGCTACTTATTGCTTTACACAATGAAGATATTTATTAGACAAATAAATGTTTCTGAACAGTAAGTCTTGGTAGCATATTCCTGTACCAGTGCTAGCTGCTCTAGAGAGCTCAAATTTTTTCCACTTTGATGTTGCGTCTACAATTAAGTGTTTGATTCAATGAGATCCGCTTTAGCCAACATCCTCATAGCAGTTGTTTTGGCTGTGTCGGAGGTGGAACTGCCTTAGAGCTGTCAAATCCACAAGCGGCTCCTGGCATTATACCTAAAGCGGACATTGCCATTGGCTGCACGCATTAAGAGAAATCCCATGCAAGTCGCATTAAGAGAAATCCCATGATGCCTTGTTTACAAGTTCGAACACTGGAATGTGAGATGTAATCTACACCTCGATTAGGATTATATAAATCCTCATTATTTTGTTTAATGAATTTTCAATTTGAGCATAATTATTTCTATACAGCCTACACTTTCTTGTTCTGAACTTCTAATGCAAATGGGGAGGGTGTGGCTTCCTGACAATGATTGCAAGAGAAGCTGCTTACAGATTTGACAGCTTCAATGCAGTTCCAACACTGCCAAAACATCCGCTATGCAGGTGTTTGTTATTGCCGTTTAACACTTGTTTTAATTGAATCTAAGCCTTAGTGTTCATCTTAAGACTTGAATTTTGTCTTCAAGTTAATTTAGCATTTAAAAAATGTTGTATCCATATATATATATTTTGAACATTTCATTCTAATTTAGACTTAATACATTATACGCAATATGTAGACTCATTTTAGCTAGATCTAGGTCAGATACTTTTGTCAAAAACGTTCAAGTACTTGAGCTGCGCTTGATTTAGTTTGCATGTACAATGAAACCAATGGAATAGTCCCAGAAGTGCAAACTCCAAGCTAAATTAAGTATTTGGAAGTATTTGACATCTGTATTTGACACAGAATTGATTTATCAGGTGTGGTTCAGAGTTTTTGCACAGCATTGGACGTTTTATATTGTCAAAAAAGATACCAATGTGTGCTGTATAATACTTAAAGGGAACAAATACACTTGTTTCTTAATATTTAATACAGCTATTCTGTTTTCCACAGTAGCACACAAGTCAGTACTGCAATTATCTCTATGAATCTGAACTTAACTGCTACATTTTAAGGACAATACACAATGCGCAAGTGAATGCCAGTGAATGGTTAAAAGCAGTGGGTGTCCATCCTTTACCCTCTGACCAGAACTTTGGCCAAAATTATTTATTTCCTGACCATTCTACATGTTGAATCGGCACCGTTCGTCGACACCCAGCAGGTGATTGCCTGGCCACCGGTTCCTCTTAAGTGTTCGTTGGCACTGTGTGTTTCTTGTCCTTTAGCTCCTTAATCAATTTACACTTTAGTTTAGATTTCTGGGACCTATCCGCCCCTGCTTAATCTTATTATTTTGTGATAAGCTAATAAGGTATTCTGTCATGCTGACGCTACCACCTAATGCTACAACCTTACTGGGATACCAAAGTTCTGTGTCTCTGTTCTTGGCTCACTGAAGACTAACATTAATAGAAAAACATCAATAATAAAGTGCCCAAATAAAATACATGTTATTCTAATTACCGTACAGCTATACAATGTGCACACATGTTCTTCTGTAAATTCATTTGATTTCATTATATATCTGTCATATATCCTCTCAGTGCCCCGTCACGAGCTGTCATCAAATGTTTCCGTTCCAAAATTACCCCTTTTCAGTGAACAATGGCACAAGCCACAAAGTCAAGACACTTGCTGGTAAATTGGCACAGTTGAAAATGTTAAAATGTTAGCCAAGCATCAAAGACAATCTTAAATATATTCAAACAACACTTAAGCTCGATCCAAATCAGAATTCTCAGCCTGGTTTTACAAATTCTATTATTGTAGAGAGAATCTGCTTCTCTTGCTGTTGGATGTCTAGAACTTGTGTTGGCTTGTTTTTTCCTATACCAGCTACAGTATAACCATGATATTGCACATTCCCCTCTGTGATGCAACCTTCAGCTTCAGACCCAATGTCTGCAAACAGAACACAGGATGGTAACCTCCCCAGTAGAGGGTTGCAAATCTCTCTCTTGCACCATCATTGACATAATTCTATCCAAAAGACACAGATTATACCATTGTACCATGTAAGAAGAAACAGCCCAAGTCAAGAATAAGTCCTGTGCTCAAAGTCTTCCTAGACCTTTGGCGCCCCTTTAAAATATATATTTTTTTAAACAGTGCAAGGCCAGTGTCACATTCATCATCTCAGAGCTGTACACTACGGTCAGGCATATGTTCCTCTGAAGGTGTGGTACCTTCCTTTGGAGGGCACACAAAGAGAAGGGTATGTTCAAAAAGAGCCAGTACCCAGAGGTCTTAAGAGCGTTCAAAGGATGGGCCCACGGTGCTCTCCAAGGACAGCTGGGAAGAGTGCCTTATCAACGGGGCCATCGTGGGGTCCACCATGGACGAGGTGGGGAAAAGCTTATACCAGCCAATCACCATGCTCGTCAAATCCAGCTCCTCCAATAAAATGCGGGCAACACCCATGAAGCATTTACGATCCATGCGTCCGTAGTTTCCCCAAACAATCACCTGTTGGAGGAAAGAAATGGGAATATCAGTGAGGGTACTATTATTTTCTAAGGACTGGAAAAGCTCTAGATGATTCTCTTTGATACTATATATCCACTATTCCAAATGCATATGTTGATACGCTCTAAATTAATCTGAGACAAATAGAGATGTTATTTACTGCAGGACAAAATAATAAATGACCATCATTGGTTTCCTCTGGGACTGTTTCCGCATTGGTTCCACTGGCGACACAATCCCATTTCTCCCTCAATTGCTAATGGTAGATGACTCTACACTTTTAGATATACTTTACATGATGTTGATTATTTTGTCACCCATCAGACTATTGCCAATTTAATATTGTCTTTAGGCTTCATCTATTATTATATGTGTGAAATGTCGTTTTCGATGGGCCATTATCAGATGGGCAACCAGCTGTCGGATGAAGGAAGGGCAGGGGGGAAATATGACATGTCCTCCTAAAACTGCTAATAACTCTGTGATTTCAAACTTCTAACAAAGTCATTGTGTTACAGTGCCTTCAGAAAGTATTCACACCCCTTGACTTATTCCACATTTTGTTGTGTTACAGCCTGAATTTAAAATTGATTACATTTAGAGTTTTTGTTACTGGCCTACACAAAATACCCCATAATATCAAAGTGGAATTATGTTTTTCTAAATTTTAACAAATTAATTAAAACTGAAAAGCCCAAATGTCTTGAGTCAGTAAGTATTCAACCCCTTTGTTATGGCAAACCTAAATAAGTTTAGGAGTAAAAATTTGCTTAACAAGTCACATAAGTTGAATGGACTAATAGAGTTAACATGATTTTTGAATGACTACCTCATCTCTGTTCCCCACTCATAAAATGATCTGTGAAGTCCCTCAGTCAAGCAGTGAATTTCAAACACAGATTCAACCACAAAGACCAGGAAAGGTTTTCAATGCCTCGCAAAGAAGGGCACCTATTGGTAGATTAAAAAAGCAGACATTGAATATCATTTGAGCATGGTGAAGTTATTAATTACACTTTGGATGGTGTATCATTATGCCCAGTCACTAAAAAGATACAGGTGTCCTTCCTAACTCAGTTTCCGGAGAGGAAGGTAACCACACAGAGATTTCACCATGAGGCCAATGGTGACTTTAAAACAGTTACAGAGTTTAATGGCAGTGACAGGAGAAAACTGAGGATGGATCATCAACATTGTAGTTCCTCCACAATACTAACCTAATTGACAGAGTGAAAATAAGCCTGTGCAAAAAAAAAATATATTTTTTTACAAAATATGCATCCAGTTTGTAACAAAGCACTAAAGCAATACTGCATCATGTTATTGGTATCCTTGTAATTGTTAAGGACTGGGAAGTTTTTCAGGGGAAAAAAATAAACAAATTCCTAGAGGAAAACCTGGTTCAGTCTGCTTTCCACCAGACAGTGGGAGATGAATTCACTTTCAAGCAGGACAATAACCTAAAACACAAGGCCAAATCTACACTGGAATTGCTTACCAAGAAGACAGTGAATGTTCCTGTGTGGCCGAGTTACAGTTTTGACTTAAATCTACTTGAAAATCTATGGCAAGAACTGAAAATGGTTGTCTAGCAATGTACTCCTGAGTGACGCAGTGGCCACTAGAGATCCTGGTTCGAATCCAGGCTCTGTCGCAGCCGGCCGCGACCGGGAGACCCATGGGGCGGCGCACAATTGGCCCAGCGTCGTCCAGGGTAGGGGAGGGAATGGCCGGCAGGGATGTAGCTCAGTTGATAGAGCATGGCGTTTGCAACGCCAGGGTTGTGGGTTCGATTCCCACGGGGGGCCAGTATAAAATAAATAAATAAATGTGTCTCTGGATAAGAGCGTCTGCTAAATGACTAAAAATGTAAAATGTAAAAAGCAATGATCAACAACCAACTTGACAGAGCTTGAAGAATTTTGAAAATTAATGGGCAAATGTTGAACAATCCAGGTGTGGAAAGCTCTTAGAGACTTACCCAGGAAAACATGTTTTTACTTTCTCATTTTGTGTGTAGATGGGTGAGAAAAATAAAATATTTAATCAATTTTGAATTCAGGCTGTAACACAACAACATGTGGAATAAGTCAAGGGGTATGAATACTTTCTGAAGGCACTGTAAATATACTTATTTACAAAAAGCCAAGGACGGAGCAGGACATTACTTAAAAGATTGCAGAAATATCACAATTTTAAATTCACATGATGTCAAAATGACCGTCTCTGTCCTGTTCATTTGAGGTTTACATCAATATGAGTAAATGTTTAGAGATATATTTGATTGCCACAGTCACTGCTTTTGTAATTACTATGGAGACCACCAGGATCGTGTTCATTAGGCACCAAATGGAAGAAAACAGACAGGAAAAGGGCGGGGCTACCTGGACCTGGGATGCAAATGTTGTTTTCTGTTGCAAAACATTTGAAAATGCTTTCTGTTGCATCCACTTATGAACATGAAACTGATGTATATGTACATGTACACTGAACAAAAATATAAACGCAACATGCAACAATTTCAAGGATTTTACTGAGTTACAGTTCATATAAGGAAATCAGTCAATAGAAATAAATAAATTAGGCCTTAATCTATGGAATTGCACATGACTGGGAATACAGATATGCATCTGTTGGTCACAGATTCTGTACCTTAAAAAAAAAGGTAGGGGCGTGGATCCGAAAACCAGTCAGTATCTGGTGTGACCACCTTTTGCCTCCTTTCACAGAGTTGATCAGGCTGTTGATTGTGGACTGTGGAATGTTGTCCCACTCCTCTTCAATGGCTGTGCGAAGTTGCTGGATGTTGGCGGGAACTGGAACACACTGCCATACATGTCAATCCAGAGCATCCCAAACATACTTAATGCATGACATGTCTGGTGAGTATGCAGGCCATGGAAGAACTGGGAAATGTTCAGCTTCCAGGAATCGTGTACAGATCCTTGCGACATGGGGCTGTGCATTATCATGCTGAAACATGAGGTGATGGCGGCAGATGATGTGCACGACAATGGACCTTAGAATCTCGTCACGGTATCTCTGTGCATTCAAATTACAATCGATAAAATGCAATTGTGTTCGTTGTCCGTAGCTTATGCCTGCCCATACCATAACCCCACCGCCACCATGGGGCACTCTGTTCACAACGTTGACATCAGCAAACCGCTCGACCACATGGTGCCATACATCTGACTGCCCAGTACAGTTGAAACCAGGATTCATCCGTGAAGAGCACACTTCTCCAGCGTGCCAGTGGCCATCGAAGGTGAGCATTTGCCCACTGAAGTCGGTTATGACACCAAACTGCAGTCAGGTCAAGACCCTGGTGAGGACGGCGAGCAAGCAGATGAGCATCCCTGAGACGGTTTCTGACAGTTTGTGCAGACATTCTTCAGTTGTGCAAACCCACAGTTTCATCAGCTGTCTGGGTGGCTGGTGTCAGATGATCCCGCAGGTGAATATGCTGGATGTGGAGGTCCTGGGCTGGCGTGGTTACAGTCTGCAGTTGTGAGGCTGGTTGGACGTACTGCCAAATTCTCTAAAACGACTTTGGAGGCGACTTATGGTAGAGAAATTAACATTAAATTATCTGGCAACAGCTCTGGTGGACATTCCTGTAGTCAGCATGCCAATTGCACGCTCCCTCAAAACTTGAGACATCTGTGGTATTTTGTTGTGTGACAAAACTGTACATTTTAGAGTGGCCTTTTATTGTCCCCAGCACAAGGTGCACCTGTGTAATGATCATGCTGTTTAATCAGCTTCTTGATATGCCACACCCGTCAGGTGGATGGATTATTTTGGCAAAGGAGAAATGCTCACTAACAGGGATGTAAACAAATTTGTGCACAGAACTTGAGAGAAATAAGCTTTTTGTGTGTATGGAAAATTTCTGAGATCTTTTATTTCAGCTCATGCAACATGGAACCAACACTTTACATGTTGCGTTTCTATTTTTGTTCAGAGTGAATGAAGTCTGTTTTACCTTACCTGAACGACTTTCCCCTGTGGACTCTCCGAGAACACCAGCGCTTGGTTATACAGAGGGTCCAGGGATTTCCTAACTGACTTTGTCTTCTTTTTGGCAATGCATACCCCCTTTTCAAGTAGGTACACTTTAATGTAAGCCGCTGGCAACGAGAGAAGACCGATATTATTACATTGCGTGTCTCTGGGGCATGCGTAGATACCTCAAAGCAATCAGGTCACAATGATACTCTTTTCATCCCCCATTTCAGATTGCAAGATTAAAGATTACACTTAGACATCCACCATGAGGAACAAGGTTTGCAGTGTCTTAAACACTTTTTGTTTCTCATTCCCAGTGCAGCAATATAGGGTTTGTTTTGAGTTCTGATCGGATATCATCCCCCAGAGAACTAAAGGGATAAGATGGTTGCAGCTCCTTGCTCACCTGGAGGTCCTTTGGATCCAGGTTTCTGGGTGAGTCCTCTGGCCTGCACGATCTCCACCTCCAAGAGGCCATTTCTCTCCAGCAGGCCTATTTCAACATCACCTGTATAATGATAAACATATCTATGAGCATAGACACGCTCACCAACTATACCACTATTGAATGTTGGCTGTATGGTTCATACACATGAAATAATATTAATCCATTTCATTACTCACTAAACCACACAAATCTTTACTTTCAGAAAAACACTATATATTTTTCTCATGAGGGTGGTGAGGTGTTGCCCCTTCTGTCCAATGAGGTAATTTCTGCACAATATATCCGTCCATTTAGGGGACCTCTTTTGGCTCCAGAGCAAAAGTTCTGTATAGCCACTATAATGACTTGAGTCACAGGTTTAGCTCAAGCACAGCGTTTAGTAATTCTCACCCAATGATGTTGTGGCTAGTGTCTGTCGCCCAACAAACTGTGCAGGGCCCATCCCATCCAGGAAGTCACTGAATTGGGTATCAGAGGCCAGGCACATCCCACTGTAATTCAGACTGGCAAAAAGGAGAGATAAGAAGAAATGGGAGAAACTGTTAGCTTCACTTCTCAAAACAGGAATCCCAGTTAAGCTTTATTTAATAGCTCCCTACCGGGTAGTTAGGTAGGAATTACATAGTTAAAGAGGTAATTACCAAATAATTGCATAGTTATTACATTTAGGTTTCTTTGAGATTTATTGACACAACTGTCACTATACCATTTGGCAGTGTTTCAGTACTCAAGTCCAGGACTCGGACTCGAGTACTACTCGATTCCCGACTTTCATGACTTGTAACTAGGGGGTGGGGGGGCAGAGCTGTGTTCCAAGAAAGAAAGAAGAGTCAGGAATTGTTTCTTCCCACTCTCCGTAACAAAGATAAAAGGGTGCCAATAGTACCAGAACATATTAAACACGTTTCTTATCAATGTATTAAACTGAAAAACTCATGACATGTTGATATAACTTGAAACATAATGTGATATTTCTGTTCTGATCCTCCTATGTCATAAAATAAGTATAATGTGGATTTTGCTGTAACATACAAAGTATGTGAAGTAACCATGGTCATGTTTGGACTCTATGTATTTAATGGAAAAGATGTTGAAACTGTTCTCTGTGCAGAAAAAAACATTCTATGAACACTTATGAGGAAATCTCAGGTTTATCTCATATGAACTTTAAATGTGTTGAGTTCTTAGAAACAACGGGGCATTCCCGTGCTACACTGTCCGGCCATTAGAGCCGCCTTCTGTGAGTCTCCCTATAAATTAGACGACTTACTAAACATACTGTAGATCAAGTTTAGCAAGGCGCCGCCATGCCCGTTGAACGAATGATCCCATCTCCTTAGAAGCCAAAACACTGATCGAGGAAGCATTATCCTATTCAGACAGAAGAATCACCCGAGAGGACCCTGCGGAGCACACTGTTGCTCATTCAAGTCCGACGGACTGAGTTAGCAATACATCCTGGGAGATCAGAGAAATAACTATATACACTTTAATAGACTTTACTTTCTTGGATTGAGAACTGAGAACAAAGAGAGGAAGACGTGGGTATCAATCCTTCGGCTGTGAGCTATTTCTGGCCCGCTGGCCTCAGCTCCAAAGGTAAGAGACAGGGAGACAGACCACAAGTAATTTCCCTGTTACATTCTTCCTATTGTATGAAAGTGGCCTTGTGTGTGTAACGTGGGTGGAAGTTATTGATTAGTTGTAAGACGGCAGGTCTAATTGACCAACCCATGATCAATACTGTCTCTGCATTGTCCACATTCGGATGTGAACTGATAGCCTAGCCATTGGCGATTCCTGGTCGATGAAACTCTATAATTTCACAGTTGTGAAAGCCTGTGTTGGTGGAGCCTCATATTTCCCCCTCAATTGATAAGACCATCTTGTCCTCAAAAGTCTTGTGAACTTATGTACTGTTGTATTTGCTTAGTTGAGTATGGAGGTTAATTTATATTGATATGTGGAGATTCTCACCTCAAAAACTATGCTGTATCCCATTATGCTGTATCTTTTAACCCCCTAGAGTAAATGTCTGCTCCCCTGCAGAAATCAAATTAGCATAATAAAACAATCCCCATAAAAATCTGTTAGTTTAAGCTAGAGATATCCACCGCATTCGCCGATGTGCGCCGATCTGCGGTGAAAGGTAACAGAGCTAGAGCGGTGTTTGTCAGCCCATGAGACATCCCGAAAATCAGGCTTCTCACAAAATAGCATCCAAACGGTTTGGCTTACAAACTATTACCCCTCTGTGGAAAGGTGAGACTATCATGAACGCGTACATGTCAGTTGTTTTGCTCTAGGACGCCCACAGGCCACACAATACTTGTCTGAAGGTCCCCCGGTACCAGTTGAAAACATTTATGGAAGTATACTGTATATAGAAACTGTTTAGTGCCAAAAATATGGGGTTAAATACATGTAAAAAAATATATGTATCCTAATCTTTATTATATCTCTCATATATAGGACATACACTTCAGAACAAACTTTTTTTGGGACAATCGGTTCTTCCATGTAGTGAATCTGTTATTAAATGTGTTTGTATGGGCTAATAGCAGTAAGGCCAAATAATATTTTTAATCAAATCATTTTTTTAATATATATTTTTTTTATACTTCAAGGGGGCTTAAAATTCCAAATCAAATAGCAAAATGATCCTTGGTATGACCTTCTTAAAACAATTGCATATAGCTTAGACAGGGCTTGGACTGTAATGGGTTAACTACCTAATTTTCCAATTTACTTAGTCTAGTAAATAAAACTTTAATGAATTATTTGAGGCATTGAGTTCATTTGCAAGTGACTGGGTTCTTGAGGTTTCAGAGTGACGACTGTTAAGAATGAGAATATAGTAAATTGACTGTTGATATAGGATTAACGGTATAAGGGCTAACATTTTCACACACGAGTTCCAAATATCTCTAATGATCGCTCCAGCTTGAGTTTTTTTATGCAAGTGATGTCAGAATGCACTCACTGTTCCAAAATGTGATTGTTACGCAACAGGACAGTTAACCCGCGCTGCCCTCGAACCAAGGTACAATGCCTGCTAATTATCTATAGGCTATGTTTAAACTTGTACATTTCAAATTATTTTCTAAAAAGTTTTATTTTCTAACAGTTTGATTTGAGGTGTGTTCCGCCTCCTCATTAATTCACATAAGAATTGTTGCGGACAATTTATGTTTGAGGCTTTACTGAGGCGGACAAACTTCTCTGTTTCCCCAGATCAAGTGTGCAGACATTTGTGCATCTCTAGTCAGAACAGGCCTTGCATGAACTTTTTCCCCCTGGCACATTTTCTGTCTGGCGCCTGCATTGCCTTCATTGTTGTTTTCCTTACAAATAATAACTTTGGACATTACATTTACATTGTAGTGATTTTGCAGACGCTCTTATCCAGAGCGACTTACAGTTAGTGAGTGCACACATTTTTTTCATACTGGCCCCCGTGGGAATCGAACCCACAACCCTGCCGTTGCAAGAGACATGTGTGCGTTCTTATCAAAGTACAGTACCAGTCAAAAGTGATTCAAGGGTTTTTCTTTATTTTTACTATTTTCTACATTGTAGAATAATAGTGAAGACATCAAAACTATGAAATAACATATATGGAATCATGTCGTAACCAAAAAAGTGTTAAACAAATCAAAATATATTTGATATTTGATATTCTTCAAAGTAGCCACCCTTTGCCTTGATGACCGCTTTGCATGCTATTGGCATTCTCTCAACCAGATTCATGAGGTAGTCACCTGGAATGCATTTCAATTAACAGTTGTGCCTGGTTAAAAGTTAATTTGTAGAATTCCTTTCCTTCTTAATGCATTTGAGCCAATCAGTTGTGTTGTGACAAGGTAGGGTTGGTATACAGAAGATAGCCCTATTTGGTAAAAGACCAAGTCCATATTATGGCAAGAACAGCTCATATAATTCAAAGAGAAACAACAGTCCATCATTACTTTAAGACATGAAGGTCAGTCAATCTGGAAAATGTGAAAAACTTTGAAAGTTTCTTCAAGTGCAGTCACAAAAACCATCAAGCGCTATGATGAAACTGGCTCTCATGAGGACCGCCACAGGAAAGGAAGACCCAGAGTTACCTCTGCTGCAGAGGATAAGTTCATTAGAGTTACCAACCTCAGATTGCAGCCCAAATAAATGCTTCACAGAGTTCAAGTAACAGACACATCTCAACATCAACTGTTCAGAGGAGACTACGTGAATCAGGCCTTCATGGTCGAATTGATGCAAAGAAACCACTACTAAAGGACACCAATAATAAGAAAAGACTTGCTTGGGCCAAGAAATACGAGCAATGGACATTAGACCGGTGGAAGTTGGCCTTCGGTCCGGAGTCCAAATTTGAGATTTTTGGTTCCAAACGCTGTGTCTTTGTGAGACGCAGTGTAAGTGAATGGATGATCTCCGCATGTGTAGTTCCCACCGTGAAGCATGGAGGAGGAGTTGTGATAGTGTGGGGGTGCTTTGCAGGTGACACTGTCTGTGATTTATTTAGAATTCAAGGCACACTTAACCAGCGTGGCTACTTCAGCATTCTGCATGCAATATGCCATCCAATCTGGTTTTGGCTTAGTGGGACAATCATTTGTTTTTCAACAGGACAATGACCCAACACACCTCCAGGCTGTGTAAGGGCTATTTGACCAAGAAGGAGAGTGATGGAGTGCTGCATCAGATGACCTGGCCTCCACAATCCTCCGACCTCAACCCAACTGAGATGGCTTCGGATGAGTTGGACCGCAGAGTGAAGGAAAAGCAGCCAACAAGTGCTCAGCTGTCATCAAGGCAAAGGGTGGTTACTTTGAAGAATCTAAAATATATTTAGATTTCTTTAACCTCTTAAGGATCAGACCCTTCTTTTCAATTTCCGCCTAAAATCACATACCCAAATCTAACTGCCTGTAGCTTAGGACCTGAAGCAAGGATATGCATATTCTTGATACTATGTGAAATTAAACACTTTGAAGTTTGTGGAAATGTGAAATGAATGTAGGAGAACATAACACAATAGATCTGGTAAAAGATAAAACAAACGTTTTCTATTTTTATTTTATCATCTTTGAAATGAAAAACAAAGGCCATACATTCAGATAGGAAGCAGGAGGTAATTTAGATGTTATCCACAAGAGGGCAGCAGTGTCTGTACAAAGTTTCAGACTGATACAACAAAGGATGACAACACAACATCATATGTTGTATCAGGACTCCCAGGTGTCCCTCACGAGTTAGCCCAAATGTACCCAAGTGGCCGAATTGGTCAATTGATACATTTTTAAGTACATACAGTGGGGAAAAAAAGTATTTAGTCAGCCACCAATTGTCCAAGTTCTCCCACTTAAAAAGATGAGAGAGGCCTGTAATTTTCATCATAGGTACACGTCAACTATGACAGACAAATTGAGAAAAAAATATCCAGAAAATCACATTGTAGGATTTTTAATGAATTTATTTGCAAATTATGGTGGAAAATAAG